TAATTTTAGCTACTCAGTTGGTGTTGAGTCACCCCAAATGTCTACGTCAGATATAGGGTACAAAAAAGGAGTATCTCATTATCAAATTGACTCATTTTTTTGTAAATTGTTCATAATCCTGTCTTGTTGTGCCTAATTTTGTTGTGTGACCACATGGTAACACGCAACTCTTGTGGCATCTAGCTATCGTACTGCCCCGCCCAGCCTAGCCGATCATCACGGACCGCCAAGCCCACTTCTGTAGAGTGGATGAGCGAGCGCCCCAGTTCAACGCTTTCTACATCAATGTAGAGAGGGAGTTGTACATGGACTATGTGCCCCCAAGTGGGCAACGTGGGTCTAACCATAGACCCTAGAGTTGTGCATCGTGGTGGCAATTCTACCGCGCATTAGTAATTCTATGGGTATCATTCAACATCTTGACTATGTTCTTGTGCAGTCTTCTTGGCCAGTGAATTTGAAGCTTTGGATTGTGATAAAGGGGTTTTCTATCTGACAAGTATCAAAGATAACATAGGATAGTGTGGGGGTAGTGAATATAGCGTTGGGTGAATGGTATGCACCTTTCAATTGTCTGCAACTCTTGCCTCCAAAAGACCAATGTACTTCACCTTGCCCTCTTCCACAAGAGCCTGAAGATGAGATCACACAATGGAGAGTCAGATTATATCTGATTGGCCGAATTCTCTTTGAACAATTTATTGCTCACACCATGTGCTTTTTTAGATTTTTTGGTCATAAATTGGTAATACATTGGAAGCAAGAACACAAAGGCAACAATTATGCTCCTCATATGATGTACCCAATTTTGCTCATATTTGCTTAATGAGATATAGCTATCCAGTCCAGAAGAGGTGTTGTATATGGAACAATGTTGGTTTGTAAATATCTTTGCGTACTTTGCTGAAAAATAGTCTGAGCACTCAATAGTGAGACAAATTTGTGACTTGCAAATATTTTTGCCTCAAGAGAGGTTCTAGCATGGAAAAAATTACATCTTGAGAAATTTATTGTCCACCTTCAAAACAGGTTTTCATTTTTGCATGTTACCCATTGCTGGGGTCTTGGGTGAAAAAGGGGTGGCCAAAAGTCATGTGTATACATACATGCCAAAACGCTATCCACAACAGTCATCCGCTCGGCTGCCGCAACAACGATGGTGTCTCTTCCGGTCTATGCATGGGCTTCGGTTGCATGTGCCACTAGTTGGCAGCTCTTGCATTGCACCAATGAAGATTCCAGCTATTAACAATGTTGTTGACCAATGGGAGATTGAGACGGAGAGCAGTGGTATGTGGTGCTACACAACACTTCACGAGGAGCATTCTGCTCTTGTTAAAGGCATGTCTAGCAATGCCTGGCTAGAGATCTCCATCTTGCGCTCTTCTCCAAAACCAACAAGGCCATCTTGTTAGCCATATAGCAGCAGTCACCGCTATGCAAGCTAACAAACCTAAGGGTGGCAAACGCCTAGCCCATCCTTAGAGAGTCCTTGAAAAGTTTGTGTGTGAAAAACAAATATGGTGCCAAAAATTTTGGGCAAAAACATTTCCCCGCGGTCAGAGTTGAGTTGCGGGAGTTGATGCCAAGACTGCGACTGGGCTTGGTCTTTGCCCGGTCCCAGTCTTTGCCCTGTCCCGGTCCGGTCTTGATCCGGGACCGGTCCCGGTTTGGGTCCGGTCCCGGTCCCAGTCTGATCCTATCCCAACCCGGGTTTTGTCCAGTCTTGGGACCTTTTTGGGACCGGCTTTGGATTGGGTGGGCAACGGGCGCAGATCGGGATTGGGCCATGTGTGCACCGGGGTTAGGGCCGGGTGTAGATTGGGTGTAAACCAAACAAGGCCGGATTCCGGTCCGACCCGGTCCAATCTGGCCCAACCTGGTCCAATCCGGTCCAACCCAAACACACCTTGGCTGACTCGGCCAACCACAAGCCAGCTGCCCCACCCCTTTCAGCGACTCCTGCTTGTTGGCTCTATCTAGCGGAGAGGTTGCACCAACCACGGTGGCCTAGAATGGGCTCCAAAGGTGACGTGAATGGGCGTTTGTGAGGCGCTAAAGGCGCCGTGGGATTGGCGCCTTGCAGGCGCCCATTCCTGCCACTATCAATGGCCTGGAATAGCAACGGCCGATGGTGGAAATGGATGCCCGCAAGAGCCGAGATGCGCCGCAGGATTGCCTGGTGGGCGGCCAATCACGCGGCTGCAATGCGTTGAAATGGCCCTTGCTGGTGGTGCGAATGGGCGCCTGCGGGGTGTAACAGGCCCCCTCGGATTGGCGCCTCCAGGGCCTGGTAGCCGCGAGTGTAGCGGGTACCTTGGTCGCTGGTACATGTTGTCGTGGTGAAACAAAGGACTGCAAGAATAGTGACAAGCCGTCCATAGGATCGCTAAACCTGGATAGGTCTGCTAAATAGGGGTCACTAAACAGGGGCCCCTGCTGTGTATAGTAGTATTCCATACCAGTCCAGAAGTCGGGCCTTCGGCCCGACGTTCTGCACACTTTTTGTTCCTAGTCAATACTAAAGCCGATTTCTGGGTGGTGGGGTTGTGCTGTTGTGTTATTCATTCAACGACAGTTCGCTCAGCGCGTCCTTTGCCACCATCACGCTCAGCGCGTCCTTTGCCACCATCACTGCTCCCAGGGCTACTCGGCACCGTCGCGAGCGTTCGCACCAGCCTTTAAGAAGCCTTGTCTGCGAGGATCCCGTTTCTACCCACGCGCTTGGATTGCAAGCCGCCGCTGCGGCCGCCTCGGACCCAATCGACGCAAGAGCTCCGCATCACATTTGACAATCTCGGCGTCTGATTGTCACAAACCGCGCGCTACGGTCTCAATGGCAGAGATCCAAAACCCACGCCGTGCTCGCGCTCAAATACGCCCGTCGGCCCGGGCAGTAGCCACACCTCCGATCTCCGCAATAGCGCAATCAACTCATTCCTGGGTCGGGGGGCCTCAACGCCTCGCCTCGTGGGGCGGTGATTGCCGCACGCGCCGACATCAACATGCCGGCAATAGCGTTTTAGGGATCTGCAACCGCTCCGGGGCCCGGCGGGAGCCCACGTGGGGCTGCAACTTCGACCGTTGAGTTTCTGGGAGGCGTTGCAGCCCTGGTTGATCCATGCGCATTCTCTGCGCAACGTTTCAGCCCGCGTCTCCTTGCTCAAACTGCCTAATTCCCGCCCTTTTCTGGATCCCGGCGGACATCTTTGCAAGGCATTTTGCCCCGATTCGCAGTCCTCCCCTGCCTGGCACGGCCACCGCTGCATCCCAGAATTGCCGCCCATTTCACCAAAAGCCCAAAAGCCCTAATACGATTGATCGCACTGCGCGCCGTCGTCGTCGCACCTACCGCTATCGAAACGCACAGCTGCGCACCTCGGGAGCCGGCGCGCTGTTCGGCGAGGCCCTGACCGGGCTCACCCACCACCATCGCCGTCGCCCCCATCCACCAACGCATTGACTACTGAGATCGCCGCAAAGACGCGGGATCGCGGCGGGAATGCGCACCCCGGGCGCAAGAGGGAACCGCCCATCGCAGCCGCAACAGCGATAGCCGCGCCCTTCTCGCCGGCCACCTTCCAGCAGCGCCCCCGCCACGCCAAAGCGCGGAGGCAAACCAGCAGCGCCCGAGTCGAAATATCTCGCCCTCACGTAACCCCCGTGTCATGGGGCTCGATTCTTATGCAACAATTCTAACGTGGATTTACAAAAAAACGCATTTCTGATCCGAAAACGCATTTCCGCTGGGGGTCGGGTTACAGGCGTATAACATAAAAAGACCTGGCGGAGACGAGGCATTACAGCCTGGGGCAATAGAAAATTGCAAAAAAGCCGGAATCAGCTGTGCATCGCTTCTTAGTGAGGTGAGCTCAAAACGATCATATTGTGCGTGCGTCCATGCCAGTCCACGAGTTCCTGTTCCTGGACTGAAAACACAATACGATCTGGTCAAGGGAAACTGCGCCGAACTTGACACAAATGTGCATCAAACTATGGCTGTGTAGCGGCTGAACAGACATCAGGGCGCCTGTGGGTTGCTATATGTGTGGAACCTGTGTACTGTGTGCCTAAATGACCAAGGGCTTGGAGTGTTCTCTTTCCGAGCACTGTGAAGTCCAGTTGGCCATCAGACAAACTACTGTTATCAGATGGTCTAAACTCAGCAGAGACACGCGCCAAAGTCAATTCTTTTCCTTGGCCTTGCTGTATTTGCATGCACATGCCATTACCAGTTTTGTCGCCTTCACCTTGCTGTACAGTGTGCATTCGTTTATTTGCTCACTGCGCTGCAGAGACAATGGCCAAAATCAACAGTCTAGTGTGAAGCGCTGTTTCCGATGCACAGGGCCCCACAACACCGATATGAAGGACTACTTTACATTATCCCTCCATAGACACCGCTCCACCCCTTCTGCCCCGGTGATTACACAGAGTGCCTCCAGGTCCACCGATTCGCCATGTGATGTGCCACGGATTGAGCAAGAGCCAAAGATAACAATTCACCAGCACCGTCCATGGAATTCAGTCAACGTACTCTGACAAATTCCCACACCCTACGGGCCAAGGGCCTTGGTCCCCAGTGGGGGAGGTGTCGCACACAGGAAGCGGGGTCCATTGGAATGTCCATTGGAACGGACCCTCCAAGTAGCAACGACAGATGACAGGCCACGTGCTCTGATGCTGACTCGCCTATCCATAGGAGCCGATGCCATGCTCACATCTCGTTGCAGGACTGAAATCCAGCAAGTGTCCAAAACGAAACGCACAAAACTGAGAATGAAAACCCATAGCATTGCACTCTGCAGCACAGCACCGATCCCTGCCTGCGGCCCCTGCCCCGGCCATAAATCAAAGTCACTTTGGGCACTCGTCAGCCTTTGCCTCCTACCGCCTCGCAATGCGCAAGGTGCCGCATCGCAGTGCAAAGGTCCAGGTCAGCACGGCGACCCCTTTGGCAATGCTTTCCTGCATCGGCCTTCCAAGGTGCACAGGCCATGTCAGTGGAGCTGTTCTCGCAAAAGTCCACACCTCCTGCCCCTGTTGGGCCCTCTTCTCCTGGTGCACTGCTTGGGATCCGTCCACTGCACGATCGGCAGGGCGGCCATGGACACAACTCGCTCCAGGGTGCCGGGAGGCAGCATCCAGAGGCAGCAGGTGGGGTCTTTCGAGGCCGCCATCAGCATGAGGCGCACGACTGCCTTGAAGCCAGCTGGGAAGTAGCGGTGGGTGGAGCGAGACCAGGCGCTGGGGAGCAGCCGGAATTTGTACAGGCGGTCCTGTGGTGAGAAAGAGGTGTTGGCAGCGCAACACAGCAAGAAAGGGAGCTGCTGCAGGAAATACGTCACGGGTATCGTTGTGAATGATGGGTCCTGAGGGACAGTGGGCCCAACAACGTGCTAGTCACTGTAGGTACTGTGCAAAGCGCCCTGAATCGCATGTTCCAGAATGGTCTGTCAATAGCGAACCAACAAACATGAAGCTCAAACAACTGCATGCTTGCCACTTGCCCACTTTCCACACACTGTCTTTGCATACTGTGGCAAGGCAGTGGCGGCATTCAATTGTTTGCTATCGTTCAGCAAGCATTTCTCTGGATCTGCACTGCCTGTCTTTGGGCCCAATGGCAGGGTGCAAGACCCCCAAAGTTGCTGCAACCAGCATTTGTGCTCAATGTTGCCTCATAGCTGAAAGAGTGGCGACTTGCCACGTTACAGCAAATCCAGTCGATACACTTTCAGTCCCTCATCATCTGCTTCTGCCCAGTGCTCTGTTGCGCCCACCATGTCTTTTCAACAAATTGTGGTCGTCATTTGCTGTACTCAGAAACACAAATCGAGAATGCCAAATAACAACAGGTGATTGGGTTCTCCAAGCACACAATATAGTTCGAGTGACTTACCACTGTGGAAAAGTACACAGAGTCATCATCGGTGACTGAAAGGCCTGTGATGGTGGTGCGTGCTTCCACCCGCAGGTTGAAACACAATCTTGAGTTTGCTGAGGGCGCTGTCACGACCTGATGGGGAGCCTTGGGATACCTGTTCGAAGCACAAGCACACAGTACTGTATTCATGCAGCTGAACTTGTCCATGCAGCAGAGAATTGAGACACATAATCCTAAAGTTGTGTCTCAGAACAATACATACATTGCACATACTCATGCACATCCAGTACATGCACATCTGCCTGGTAGCATGCGACAAGGCTTAACACTCGCCACAAGGTTGAGGCCATCTAGCTCGCCAAAAGTGAATAAATGTTGAAAATCAACCAGTAAGCTGACACCACATCTCCCTGATAATCTGCCGTTTCTGTGCAGTTTTTCTGGAGATGTTGCGACTAGCTGTTTTGGTGACCCAATTTTGCTGTTTCTAGTGACAGTTGTCTTCTTGTCCATTCTCCCTGTGCAAAAGGGCTGTTGGGGTGCCTCCTTTGCTCGTTGAAGTTACTCTTGACACTTACTTGATACATTTTGGGCACTTTGCTTGACACGTTGATACACTGCTCTGTTGCTAGGTGCAGAAATAGGGGGTCAAGCTTCGTTTGCATGTGATGAAATGCTGACTTTGAAAAGTCGGATTGCTGTGAAACTACCCCCATCACCACCACTGCCACCAACGAGCTTTTCTCCCCTTTCCTATATTTAGGAATGATCCATACTTCTATTCATTTCTACTGTTTGTATCGCACTTTAAAGCGTTTCAAGTATGCTAGATCTGACAGTTCTAATTCTATCATAACTAGGCGGCACCCGAACTCTGACGATCCTTGGCGATCTCTGATCTAAAAAAAAAGGCTTCTGCATGGCAAAGTAACAAGGAAACCACATGCTCACACACATACACCACATGATGCTATTGTCAGCCAGGATCATGGAATGGGTCCTGCTTTGTTTCCTGAGATGATGAGCTCATCTGATACCGCAGTAGCCCAATAAACATAGTCCAGTGATAGTCAAGCAACAGTACCATGACAGTCTAACAACAGTCCTGATAAAAATTCTGCACAAGCAAGCTGACTACTGTGCAGCTTGTGCCATTCCTTTGCTATACTTCCAAATTATGAAAGGCGCATTCGCAGGAGGTGTTGTTCCCGCTAAGGCCGCGCTAACACTCGCATTCACACGCACCTGATGTCCATCACATGCAGCCTCTTTCGGCTCTCTGTAAACATGAGCAGCTCGTCCCGAGATGCGGCAAAGCTGATGGCCAGGGATGGCTGGTTTGTGTTGATATGGAACAGCAGATCCCTACTGGCCACATCCCACACCAGCGCGGAGAACGTCAGGTCGCTGGTGGCTGCAAGGTACTTGGAAGAAGGGCTGAACGCACAATATTGGCTGCCTGCCTCCTGAATCTGTCGTGTGCGGTGGCCCTTGCCAGTGACCTGCGCGAAGCTCAGGGTGGACTTCTGGTGGAGAGCGTACCTGGGGCAGCAGGCATAGGTGAGTGCCTCGATCAAGATCCACATAGAATGACGCAAAGTGGAAAACCACGCGATTTCAGCTCGTGTTGTCAGGCCGTGACTCCAGTCTGGTGGAGGAAGAATTGAGCCCAGCTGAGCTGAACTAATAGTGGTTTCATTACGCATAGAGCAACATAGCACCCAGACAAGCTTTGTGTCATATAATCCATCTGCACAGAACAGAAAGATTTGTGTGCAAGCATATGTTTGGCCCCTCCTTTAAACGCAGAATCTCTGGCAGACTCGAAGTCACTGCAACAGGCAGTGCAACATGCCATACAACGGGGACTCCACACCTGAACCAAAACATCTGATATTCTTCTCCATGCTGCGGACACTGATGCAAAGTCTTCAAGTACATACACAGCAAGTGGCACAAAGCAGTATGGAAAAGAACAAAACATGCACTCATGGTGGACACATGTACAGAGGAGGATCGAGCTTTCCATAAGAAAGAATCAAAGTGACGCAAACCGAAATACCAGGGCAATGGTCGGCCCATTTAGGGGAGTTGGCTCCAGGTCTTGCACGTGTTGGAAGGTCATTCAGAAGATTACTAAGCTACGATTCCTATGAGGTTCGAAGCAAACTGCACACTGCCCACCCGTCCTTCTCCGCCAGCAAGTACAGCTCCTTGATGTCCAGACACAGCGCGAGCAGCTGGCCATCAGGAGAGGGCACTGCGAAATTCACGGCACACTGAAAGGGCCCAATGGCCGCCGTGCCCATCTGTATGTGGCGAATCGCACCGCTCTCTGTGGCTAGGCCCACCACCTGGCACTTGGTGCCGTCGGAGGCCCTAGCATCGCCAGGCTCAAACAGGGATGTGCACACAAAGGGTGTGGTTCCACTGCCCTCCATCTCAAACAGGAGGATGTACCCATGCTGTGCACAACACTGAAATCAGTTAAACTGAATTGAGCAGATAACTGTACAAAGAAAACAAACGGATAATAGGCTGATACATAGTTTACTGCTGACACATTCATAGACTCATAAATCAAGAGCAGGATAAATTGAAGGTTGAGTATCACCAAGGCGTGGCAAATCACTTCCATGTCATGTTTTGGGCTGTGTCAAATGTGTCCAGCCTGCCATGGGAATGACCTCCATGTCACTGTTGGAAAACTGGACTTTGTTGCCACCGCCACCTGCTGTCTGCGATGCAGACAGATGGCAGGATGACAGATTTGCGATGTGGGTAGTAACAAATTTTCTGGGTGTGCGCCTGGCCATCATCACCTGCAAGGTGAAAGGGCCCCATTTTGTCTTGTCAAGGCCAATGAAGCAAAAGGAATTTGGCGTCGATTTCCTCTGCCAGAACCTGACGCGTTTGACATATTCCACAAACTGTCGATGCTGCATCACTTTAAAATATTTATGTCCCCTGCTTGCATCTGTGATATATTTGCCAGATATTTGCATTCAGGCATTTAATGTACCTTTCTCAATTATAGGGCACACGTTTGAGCCATGATCATTCACAGGGGCCAAATGCACTGTTCAGAATTTTGTGCCTATCTGTATCTACTCAAAAGAACAACAATATATGTCATCATCAAGCAATTCCCAAACTGAAGTTGTGTCCATCACCATATCATTGGGGAACTCCCCCCCACCCGCGGCCATGAGTACCACACAGGTGCAACAATGCACACAGATACGACAAAAAAAGCAGGGAGAAAAGCAAAAAATTCAGGGAAAATACGATTAGAGAGCAAGAATTCATAAAAACAGCTGACCTGTGTCGTTGCCACCAGCCGCTGCTTTCCAGCCACAGTCCCAAAGCGCACGCTGTTCACCATGGTGTCTGCAGCCACAAAGAAGACGCCCCTGTGGCGAAGCCTGTGACCACGATTGTTGACCTTCTGGTCCAGAACTGTTGACCTGCTGGCTGATGTTCCTGCCTCCTGATCGTCATCGACCTCAAAGAAAGTGATGACTCCACGGTGCCCACCTGTGGGGATCACCACCAAAACCGTTGTAGCTATAAATAGCAGTGCTGATGGGGTATTTTAAGGGCACCACTAGACACCACATTTGGAACTGCATAGAGTGTGACAATAGATTTTGACAATGCTGCAACTATAATCAGCCACCAAAGTCTAGGTGCTGGTGACTTTGAAGTCATTCAATGACTTCATTAGACTGCAAGCATCATCATGACAATGCATGAAAAGAAAGAAAACTCTGTGCTCATGGGAGCATGTGTGGGAGACATGCAACAAAGCACACACTCAGTTTGGTGAAAAGGAGAGTGGTGAAGGAGAGATTTCAAAGCCTCGTTCATGCACCACTGTGTGCATGTTTCAGATATTATCTGTAGCAGCAGCTTTTTGGTGCATGCTTGCTGTGTCTGGGGAGCATGAAACCAACGGAGCTCCTGCCACCAAATTCTCCTCCATTCACGTCATCGTTATCACATAATTTGTTGTCGTCAAACAGGCTATCCACTCACCAACTGCAATGGATTTTCCATCTGGGGTCCTGTCAACTGAGTATGGGTGTGTGTCCAGTTGCACCTCCGACAGGGTCTCTAGTTCCTGAACCCCACACCACACGTCCAGAGGACACGATCAGTACTTGCCAGTTTCAGCATCTTGTGCACCCTCCCAAGGTGCCGCATGGCCCACATCTTTGCTGCCATGATGTGGTCTGCAACTGGACTCTCAGATGTGACGTAAATGAAATTTGGAAATTGCAACTGTCATCTGTAACATGCATCATACTCATGCCCAAATGTCCACAGGGAACATCTATCACTGCCACTTCCACAACCACTATCACACTGTGACACTGGGTAGTATATGGAACTCCGATCTTTAGACATTGAACGCACACTAATTGGATCTTTCCACGATTTTTTCTCAAACACCATACTGGACTAGGTAGCCTCTGATAGGTTGTGGTAACCACAGAACTGCTGCAGTGAAAATGTGTGACACTGCTGCACTGCCCACAAATTGTGCACACAACATCCAATGCTTTAACACAACTTTGCTGTGCCCTGATATCCTTACTGAGACTCTGTGTTTGTAATTCAGTGTACATCCCAGCAGTAAACTTTAAGCATGAGTTTCCTTCTACCACACTTACACTTCTATGCTTGAAGTTGAATTATATCATTCGTTTATCCATCTGTACATTTACTTAGACACTTATCTACTGTCTAGGTTCAAAATCTTACAAACGTCTGAGGCGTCAGCCTCTCACCACCCACCCACCCACCCCTTCTCCTCCCTCACACAACTGTTCCACACCTGACCCCCCTCCTTGGGCACCCTCTGCACCTTCAACACGTCAGCCGTAAACATGACCACCTCATCTGTCCCACTGCGCCCACAGCGACCCCCATTGCAGCACAGCGCATCCGCAACCTGATGCAAGTGCAAACAGGCAATCAGCACTCCCACATCGACAGCAGCCCAGATGCTTGCGTGGTGCTTCCCTGGACCACATCTGTCCAACAACAAGACAGCACAACTGTTGCACCTTGCAGATGATGATGGCACACAAGCGTCCAATCGATGTTTTGGTCGACGTCTTACATGCCCCACAGGTTCTGATTCGACGCGGAAATCGAGGGATTGTCTATCAGAGCATTGTGCAGTCTGCCTATGCTCATCATCGCCCTTACGATGCAGGTGCAGTGCTTTGACAATTTCTGCCACCACAGCTGCACCTGTGGGTCCTTTCATCACATTCAATTCTCTAACACCACACCACTGCTTGCATGAGACACCTGAGTTCTTCTTTGTAAGTGTGGAATCACTTTCAATATTTGAGTGACCATGGCGACGGGCTGTCGTTCGACTTATTACTGCTGTTGTTGACTTGTCAACAATGTGCCTTGAGTCTGTCAATACAAGTTGTCTTCACTCAAAATTTGGCAACTGAATATGTTGATTGAGGCCATCATAACTTGTCCAATCCATCACTTGCTGCTTTGTGCAGCAAGCTTTCCTGCTTGACTCAAAGACTTCCATAATGCTACAACTCAAGTATGGCAAATGGTCTCACAGACATCTGCTATGGAGCTGTCCATGGCAACAAGTGCTTTGCCATTCACCAAAGCAAGAGTATGCTTGCCTGTTTGTGGTTTGGTGTGGAAGTGGCGGAGTAGGTCTGCCAGTCAAGCTGCAGGTAGCCGGGTCCACTGCAGCTTGGTTGTCCATCCTCCGGAAGGCCGTCATCAGTTGAACTGTCCCAGTCACTGCAAACGTCTTCCTACTTGCACACAGTTGCTTCCCAATATTGGCTGTGGACATTATATTGGTACTGTGTTGCAGCCAACAGCTTCTTCTGAGCATCTACGCCCTTCAGTAGTCTGATCTTGGGATTCCAGGCCAAGGCACCATAAACAAGCCTACAGCTTTCAAACAAGGAAAACTACAACGCCAGTTGGCCGCATGGTCTGCATCTGTGCAAATGCGAGGCTTTGCTTCCCCTGCCACTTGAGGTGACATTGGATGCAATTCGCACCCTGAAGCATTCCACCCCATGTTCTTCTTTACTCCTAAAACAGCCTGCATGCCCTAAATAGTGGCACAAGATAGATGTTATTGTTGGCTGCATAAGAGTCAACCTATATCACCACCCAATCGTTGGTGGACAGCTAGCAAGTAAGTGCTGCTGTTGGATTATCTGACTTTGGAAGAGAAATGTGCCTTGACAGGGTGTTACCTTTTGCACAAGAACACATACATAGAATGCCCCGCCCAACCTGCCCCATCATGGCCACCCAACACCTCATTTTGAATTCTGGCGCCCTGCGCTGTGGTGCCCATTACTTTTGGAGCCTAACATCGCACTGTGAGGTGGCAAATGCCCCATTTCATTTCATCACCACTGGGACGGCGCCTGGTCTCAAATAGTTGACACAACAATTTGACAGGAGGATTGAGCACCCACCTCCAGGCACTCCAAGCACTCCAATGGCTCCAAATCTTCTTCTCCCTCTTGGTCATCTTCGTCGCTCTCGTCGTTCATTTCTTCCAAGTTCAATGCCCATGGCTGCAGGGCATCCTGCGCAGCCAGGCTGCCACTGCACTCAACAGCGCTGCTGGGGTCTCCATCGGCGGCACTCCCACCCCGCGGGCTATCGTTGGAGCTGCTGCCTGCTCCTTCAAGGCTTGTACAGTGAGCAACCTGCCAACACACGTCTTGAACTGTCAGAGATGTGGCACAGCAGTCCCATTGCGCCTGTTGGTCGATGTTTGCATTCTTCCAAACTGCAAGTTCTTTGTCTCCTGTCATTTGTGGCACCCCATCGCCAAGCTGCTGTTGTTTGCCGCTTGGATGTGCTGAAATCTATTGGATGCCTGTAATTGATCTGTGGCAGGGAATTCTATTTAACTACCATTCCTTGCCATGGATCTGAAAATATAGACAACTGCTCTGTTTGACATTGATTTACTAGGACCAATTGCACAGTAGCCACCAGGCAATGCATCTTTTGAAAGTGTCCCACAGCTCTTCTTGCACAGGCGATTGCAAGCTCCACTGGTGAACAATGAACTGATGCAGCCTTTCTGTCATTTGTTGAAAACCGAGTTGCTCAAAGTCATCAAGACCTTGAAGGGTGATATATCAACAAGCAGTGTGGCACAATGCCCCAAGAAGCAGAACTCTGGGATGGCATTAATGCAAGTGCTACAATGGGCTGCGAAAACAATCGCCTTGCAAAGTCTTGCTGAGGCGGCGAGAGCATAAAATTTTGCTTTGTCCCATTGCTGTTGACAGATGCATTCATTCTTTCCATTTACAAGGACAAACGTCGCAAGTCAAGAAATCCAGCACATAGCCCTGGGGGCAGCCAAGGGTAACACAGCCCCCACCAGCCTGGGTGGGCATTGCAGTCTCGATTCAGGGCAACTTTGTGTGGACATATCAGTGTGGACACGATTGGAGATCTGCTAGTACTGGAAAAAACACACCATGCTGGTAGTGACATTCATCAAAAAATATTGAAGCAAAGCAAGCACTTCCCAGTGCTGATGTTCCCTGCAAGCTGCTTCACAAAACCTGCCCCACTTTCGTTGGCGTTGTTTGGATGGCTTGGACAAGCGAATTCACTCTTCTGCAAAACTGCCGTCTGTCTCTGCGCTCTACACTGCCAGAGGTTCACAGCATTTAGCCCTGTCTATTTAAGTTGGTCGGGGCGTTCTCTTCACTAAGCAATGTGAGATCCTTGTCGACTGCCAGTACCAGTGATGCTATCTGATTTTCAAGACAAAGCAGAGACATATGCCACACCCTGGCTGCCATTTCTATGCTTATGGATACATTCAGCCATTCTATTCTCTTTTCTCATGCCTTCTCTTTGCTTTTCTGGCAGATCGCTGGGCTGCTTGCGACACATGGGAAGAAACACCGATTGCACCCAGCAATGTGTTCACATCCCAACATCACCTGCCCAGTAGGCGCTTTGTTTTGCTATATTCTGGGAAAGGCAACAAAACAGAACTCAGGCCCATCCCCACCACAAGCACGCCAGAGCAAACCCCGTTCCGGGGCCCGCTCCGCCCTTGCGTCGCCGGTGCAAAGGGGTGTGCTGTCGCGTTTCAGATAGCTGTGATCGCAGGACCACACCTCTTGCCGTGTGAAGTCGAGCGCACTGATTTCTGCAACGAATTTTCCCTTCATTGAACTTTTATGCAACGAATTCAGCGCTCACCAGGCCAGGGCCTCCCGTGGCCCTCTCCTCGCCGTCCCCGCTCGGCCCCCCTTCCTGGCTGGACGTCTCCGACTCCTCGATCTCGCACGGCACGTCCGTCAGGCGCATAGACCGCAGCGCATCGCCGGCGTGCCCCCCGCCCATCCCCCCACCGTCGGCCTCATCTGCCATCGGGCCTTCGGCCGACGACGATGGGGCGGGGTCGGCCGAAGTGGATGAGTCGCATGCGAGGCCAGAGGGCGGGGGGGGATCGGATGGGCAGGCACCGCCGCGGCCCATGGGGATTCCGTCCAACGATCTTGCGCCAGGGCAGAGCGTCCTGGCCAGGGCAGAGAGGGGAGAAAATTGGGCATCAGGACTGTGATTGTGGGGCAAGGCGCATACAAAACAACAAACATATGCATACAAATGCGGCCTGGGGAAAGATCAGCGCGTTGATTCGAGCCCTTTTGCGGGCTGGGAGTTGGACGTGATGGTGCTGGCGGGGTTTGAAGAGCGACAGGGAGGGGGGTCGCGCAAGGGGTGGAGGGCGCTCAGAGGCGCGTGAAGGGCAAGGGGATCGGAGCTGCGGGTGTTGGGGGAAAAGGAGGTTGAGGCTGGGGCCCGAACGGTGTGAAAGACGCCACTTCCAGCCTTGAACGCCGCCATCCTGAGCAATCGCGCTCACTGTGCTCCCCGAGATGAGGCGGGGCGTTTCGAGCGGGCGCCCAAAGCGCGTAGCGCGCCGCGGCACCGTGACCCGCGCCGAGGCAGCGGATCCAGTCCGAGAGGACGGCTGGCGATGGACGCGGCAGGCGAGGACAAGCTCCCCGCGACCGCGCGGGGCAAATTCGCCGATGAGATGTTCATGCCTATGGGCGAACGGCGGGAAAGGGTCGCGAGGGGGCGGGGGGGGGGGAGGGGGGAGGCACAAGGATGGCGCATCTCCGTTCGGCGCCTCGAGCGCTGGTCAGCACGTAGTTGGTGCCAGAGCGCGGGGATCGATCCGCACCTGGGGCGGCCGCCGGCAAGCGCTCGTAGGCCCCGGGCAGGCTCCTGCGGTGGGCTGAGGGCGGCCAAGGCCGTGGGGCGGTTTGTTGGTGTTCCTGGTGTGGGTCGGTGTGGGCCAATGTGCTCGGTCGCGGTGTGGATGACAGTGCGTGTGACAGGGATGGCTTGCCAGATTTTTGAAATCCTCTGCTGGAGCGGGTGGTGAAGTTGCTCATAATAGCTGAATCAAATGAGGCAAAAAATGAGGGCTGCAACTTCATCAAGAGCATACTACAAGAGCAGGGCATCAGTATACAAGAAGGCTCAGTGCACAAAGAGCCGTTTACACAGCGATCGGGACTGCCGCCGTTTTCGATCGCCATCGTTCTGCGCATGATGGGATCATTCAACAGGCCGACGACGGGAGCGAAAAATGGGCGCTTGGGATGGTTTTTTGTTCCTCGTCCTGGAGTATCACAGGCCCCACTCACCCCCTACTTGAAGGGTGTCCAATTCCATTGATGACACACTTGTAAGAAATGACAAGGCAAGCCTATTCGCCAGGCTGGCGAAGTCGGGCGATGAACGCAGGCGCAGTGGGATGCTCCCAAACCACGTTTGCGTCCACCTGGGTGGTGAAGGTGTGTGTTGAGTCGTTTGACCACGTTCAGCCAATCCAGTGCGGCTGGCTCGGCATCTGTAATGCATGAATGGCTAATGCAGCCTTCGGCGTCCTACCCATGGATTCCGGCATTTTTTGGTCGATGGATTTCCGTTTCCCGGGCTCGAACGGCGATCACGCTGGTGTTAATGACGCTGATGCCGCGCCAGCCGTCTCAACGCACGCTGGAATCCTGTTGGCTGTTGCCGGTATGCTCGTTTGGGCCCGAAGATGACATCTACTCTCTCGTTCAGTGCAATGCCAAAGACAGAATGTGCAGCAAATATTCAACGATTGGCATGGTACTCCCAATTTCAAGTCACTGCTTGCTTCAGCCAGCTGGCCATGTTGCAAAAGTTGCTTTTCATGTGCTATCCCAGCCAATCTCTCCTGGGGAATTTGGAGTCATGTTTTCTGGTTGTCCTGCCACAATGCCAAGGCTTCACTAAGCAAGTCATTGGCATTGCCACTTTGCTGCACAGCCCCAAAATCGCTAAGGCACCCCGGCGCTGTGCCGGAGTCGTCTGCATAAGAGAATGTACGAGATGAGAGTAATGCGGCGACAGGAAACCAGTAAGAGTCTGACTCATGCGGCAATGTGCACATGTTGCCGATTCATTTGTTGCAACGCACCTGGTTGGCTGTTCCCTCCATTTAGGAGTGCACGCACTGACGGGAACCACTGTATTACTGCAAACACATTGTGGGCTCAGACACTCCACCCAACTCGAGACACAAGCCATGAACCCCTACAGATCCTCTCACCACTGCAGAGGGCCATAGCGTGCACAAAACATGTATGCAGAGGCGCCCGTCCAAATCAGCTAAGCCGCAGCCAAGTATCCATAAGAGTCGTGACTTTACAAGCCAACTTCCACGTGCACGAATGATGGTGTTCCTTTCAGAACGGCAAATGGCGACGTCCAGCTGCACGCTTATCCGAATCCCAAGCTCCTAATCAATCGATCGCAGACACAAGCGATGTGAGAAGGCGTAGCCGTGGCCCCCTCTCGTTCTGGCGTCTGCAGTACTCGAAAATCCAAAAAAGGCTCACAAAACGACTGCAGGCACTCATGGGTGCACTTCCCATGCGGAAAGCCATCTCCAAAGTTGCCGTCATCCAATAAACAATCCCAATCCTAAACAGAAAATATCGATGGCATTTTTCATTTGTTTCTGGTGGGAGGCTGCCACAGCACGCCTCGCCAACCAGACCACACGCGGCTGCGGCGACGGGCCCAGGGGCGCCCCTAGACGCGCCTTTATGCAAAACCACCAAAGCTGCCTTCCTTTATGACTCCAGGATCCACTGACAGGGACTGCAGATCTCGCGAACCCAAACACCGAAGGGCCAACCCCAGTCAATTAAATCCCAGCTGCTTCCCAGTTGGGTCTTTGTCAGGCGAATCGATGCCTCAATCCAGATCTCCCAGCACTCCTTTATTCCACTCCACACTGTGGGGATGGAGGAAGGTCAACGTCCCATTGAAGCCGCAGCCCATGCATGGGTCGTTGTGGTGCCAGCAGGTTGCCGCCCAACAAGCCAGATCGATTCCAGCGCACACCCTGACGTCACCCTGATGCAACTTGCGGTGCAACTTGTGGTGACAAGGCAGAGGTGTGTTGTATTTGAATATTATGTTACCAATGCGGGCTGCCTGTAAAGGACCGCGCACACAGAGTGCACAAGGCCTGCCCGCCACGTGACGATCACATCGCCTGCCATCGAAAACGAACAAAAGACAACAGGTCCACTCCGCTGGTAGAGACTGGGCACAGAAGCCGCACGCACATGGCAGGCAGCCAGGCAGTTGATCACCAGCAACGAGAACTGGTGCCAAAAGGCACGTCCCCAACAGAAAGAGGGAATGCAACCATCCAGAAGGCAAGAGCACAACTGGCACGTTTCATTCCAACTTTTATTTCTGCCACCAGGTGCTTGGCTCTGACCAAATCCAAACAAGTCCTGCGTGGCAGCACAGGTTGCGATCAGACACCCATCAGCCACATAACCCTGACAGCCTTGCAATGCTGTGCCCAATGTGCAGCCAGCACGTCTGCATGAAATGCAAAGGGTTTGGGGAGTTGGTCCCGGTTGGGGTCGCTTCCCAACATGGGGGACGCCTGTCGAATGTGGCAGCACACATCAGTGCTATCCTTTGCGGGGAGCAACCACAACTCAGCCCCAGCTGAAACACCTTTCCACTTCGGGAGGCCAAAGCTCACACCATTCAGCGCTTGACAGCCCGTACTCCAGACACAGTGGAGGCAGGAGACAGAGGTTTATGCCATAGGATACAGGCAAAACGCTGCATTTTGTCCAGCCTCACCTGTTCCGTTAAAAGGCAACAACACTGAGAGTAACAACATATACCGATAACAATAACAACAGAAACAAGAATAATGACAATACTTTGTCACTCTCCAGGCGGATATTGTTCCTGTTCCGCGACTGAGATTCCAGGTTGTACACACACTGCGATGCAGCACTGCGGCCACATAGCGCAAGTCCGCCCACAGAAGCCAACACAACGCACTGCACTGCAGCTTACCTTTCACAGCACACCACTGCAGCCCCGCTCTCCTGGAGCCTCCTCACTTGTGGTGGCAATCGCAGCCTGCCCCCTGGCTGCTGTCATCGTCGTCTGTGTCACTGTCGCTCCAGTCCCCAAACTCTCGCCTCTTGTGGAAGATGCAACACTCTGTTCACCAGTCAACTCATCGTTCAGCATCGTGTTGCCCAGTGACATTTGGTGGTGGATTTGAGCCTTTGCGTTTGTCTCCAATACGAAAGCGTGGTGGCTGGGGGCCCACCACTCTGTGCTGGCCACCTTGTTCTCACTGGGCTCCAAACCACCTGCCCCTTTTTTTCCACTTTCTTGTCTCTATCTTTTCTTTAAAAAAAAACAACCTCCATTGGGCGTCATGTAGCACACCTGCTATCCTTGCAATTCCACATTCCGTCCATTCCTAAACAAGACACACTTAAAGAGTCCACACGCCGGACCTCAAATGCGATGCAATGTACAGGGATGCAAAAACGAAAAAGGGGACATGTCTGGAGATTGTGGCAAAAACACTTGCTGTGGAGTATAATACTTGATATGAATCTGTCAGGAATGCAGAGGTTTGCAACATGACCAATGCGTGCTGCTCACACTCCATGTTGCATCCTATGGAGCGCAAGCAATACCAGCCTTAGCAAAAGCTTGTTGGATATAGTCTGCTTTGCCAACCCCCACGAATCTGCACTGACCCTTTCAAAGCAACTGCAACCAAGCACAGCTTACTGCAACAGCAAGGGAAGGCCAACCAACAGATGATGAATGAACTCCGGTCCAGGCATCACACACAATCTGAGCAAACATGCTAGAGCAGACACTGTGGCTGCAGCTGTGGCATCGTATCCCTGGGAAGGGCAAGGGGCAGTACATTGTCATGTGTTGGCCATAGAATCACCATGATTCGAACTACATGGACTGCGATCACTCACTCTTGGAGGACTTCCTGCCCAGGAACTCATTGTCCACCACGTCTGCTGCCCACTGCACAACCTGCAGGGAGAAACAAAACCTGAGCGGCCACCACAGTCTGACATGTATGCTGCCAGATGCAATAAGCATGGGGGATTGGCAGTGCAGCGATTTGCTTCATACAGGCAGACCCGCTTGCACGTCTCTTGCCACATGCTCTGCCCTGTGTTTTGTGCTAATCCTGTTGCAACAAGAGGCATTCTCATCATCTGCTGTATTCTGTCGTCATTTCAGCACTTGAGACCTTGTATGTGAAAATACACTTATTCCTTCATCACAATATACCCTTCGCTATCACTTTTCATATCAATCTTCAATATTCATGCTCTATAGTGTGGAAGAGAAAAAGTGCATATAACTTATGGAAGAGCAATCACGCACACATCTTGCTGGGTGGGAGGAGGGTAGAAGCTTTGTTCTTCCTGTCAACCACTCCTCAAAAACTCCTGCTGTCTGCTGCTCTGAGCTCAGCCAAGACACATGCCAGTTGTCATTCTTTGTGTTGCTGTGTTGGATACATTTGTTCATTCCTTTCAATATTCCCAACAGTGCTGCACAAGAGTTTCTGTCGCATTGTGCACCTTCTTCTTCTTGGCCCTCCTCTGGCAAGGAGCCAGCCTCAGCCTCACAATATCTGCTGCAACAGAAACGAATGCTGGTCAAAAGAAGAGTGCATAAATGCATCCATTGTATGTTCATGGCACATGCTAACTCTAGGTCAGCCCTTCCAGCGTTCTACAAGGACCTGGCATCGCACATCAACAGGAACACCCCAATCTCCCACATCGTATTTGTACAAGAATTGTTCCAACATTGGAGCAACATCTTGCAAGACAAAGAAGACTGAATGTATCTTCACAGGCACAAAAACGATCAACCATTGCCTGCAAGGTGCAAAGGCGTTTTTGCCGTGGCCATTCTGGTAACTGCAATCAAGGGAATGTGGTTGTGAAATCGGCACAACGGCCATGGCACCTACTAACACTGATCCCAGGAAATTGGACAGAATCATTGGACGAAAACAAAAATGGCAAAGACTGCCAGTGAAGTGTGAGCCTGCCACAGCTTGCAGGCGAGTCCTGAAAACCCGGAACAGGTGTGCAGCCCAGCCTGTTAAGGCATAAAAGCTCTGTCAAAAGAGCTTAAGAGCAAAAAGGAAATACACTTGCAAAACTTAAGGGAGGGTGCAAAAGGCTGGGTTTGGATCGATGTTCAAACAAGGATAAACAGTGTCAGTTTGTCTTCCTGGTTGGGGAGGTGGGCTGCAACTAACTGGTGTCACGTCCTCACCCAGGATGTACACAGGATGTACCACCTAGGATGAACAAGGGAGCAATGTTTGCGCAAGGGAAGGAACAAACACATGTGCAGGGCGCCCACAGGTTGTCTTGTCAACCACCGCTGACACAAAGCTCGCGAGGCAGATATCAACGCGCCAAGGCTCAAATCCCGACGCCCGCCCAATCCTGGCGTGAGAACCAGCCACCCGAAGCGGGAGTGTCCCCAAGAGAGGAACCATGCGCGGCAAGCGATGTACGCCACTCCCGGCAACCTCACGTGCCGCAGCAGCCACCCTCGGGCAAAACCAAAGCAGGCCGATTTCAAACAACTACGAGGCATGCTGCGCAACCAACCTCAGCAATCCAGCTGGCCGCTCCCACATCGTTGCCCCCGGCCAGCTCAAACAACGGCCACGCACGGAGCCCCAACGCCGGCATCGGCCTGTGGAACCATGCCCGCGCCGCGAACGTGGGCGCTCGCCGCGAACAAACCACCCGACAGCCCCCACCAAACGCATCGGCTTCCCCGCCCCAGCCCACCCCCGAGCTGATAGACATCTTACGTTCACGCTTGATGTTCTCTCCCTTGTGTCCGTCCTGTTTCGTCTCGGCGCTCCCGCTAAATCTCGATTAAGGCGGAGAAAGCGCGGGACTGCGCCTTGCTGCCTGCCTTGTGAAAATCTCACTGCGCCCCGCCCCCCTCCCCCCCCCCGGCAGGGGCCCTCCCAGACAAACCCACCCGTCGCCTGGCCACCCTGGCTCCCCGCCCGTCCGCCCAGCTCCACCACGCAGCACCCCGCGACCCCGACGGCCTGCGGGCCCGCCGCCTCCACGCCGGCCATGCCCGCCTCCCCTCTCCGCCGCGCCCGCCGGACTCCTCCGCAGATCTCGAGCCGCGCGAGGCGACTCCCACCGCTCACTCCCGCCGCTCGCCGAGGGCGATTGGGCGGAGAGATTCGATCGATCGGCCGCCTGGGTGCGGGGTGAAGAGCTTTTGGGCACTGGACGCGGCTGCGGAGCGCTGTGGACGGCCAGTTGTACCGGTTTGGCTGCCGAGGGGCGTCGGCGGGAGCCGCTCAGCCAGATCGGCCAAAACTATGGTAGGGTGGGCACGCTGCACCGAAGCCGAGGTACAACGGGGAGGCAAAACACGAAGGCGCCACGGCGGGAGATTTCGCCGCTGGCGTGGCGCGACGTGGCGTTGAGGGGGGTGGGCCTACAAATCAGAGAAACCGTGTTGTTGTGAAATATTCCTCTCAGGTGCACACTGACAGCACTCTGCACCCTGGGTATATATGTGATGTGACGGCCTCTGCCCAACTTGTCCTTCTGTAAGATCCGCCTTGCATCTGTCTCTCCCACCCCCCCGACTCATCACTGCGCTGTCAATGTCACGCAATGGCCCCCCTTGACGTTGAGAGGGACACGGTTCGTGAATTACATGCAGCCGAGGCCACATCCCTCCTCATTTCCCTCCCGACGTTTAAGGGAGACGTGGGTGGGAGGGGCCAGGACGGATCAGTGCGCTCACGCGTAGGAGCTTCATGCAGCGCCAACGTGGGGTGGTCGGTGGGACGTTGAAGTGGGGCGGTGAGGCGACGTCGGCGGAGTACCGCGTTGGCGCAAAGTGGGGCGCGCTTCTGGTAGGTTGTGATGGATATCGGCCGAGCCTGGATTTCAGCGGGAAAGAGTCGCGGACGCCGCTTCTTGGGGCCGAAGAAGTCTCCGAACACGTGCGCGTGAGGGGTGCGCGCATGGGTCGCCGCCTTGACATGTGGTGTTTCTCGGCTAATGGATTGCTAGCTGGCGACGCTGGCCAGCGGGCGGGGACCCCTGCCGATCCAGCTGCCGTAGTATATTCAACCGTTGCGCATCAAACGATTTTACCGTTACGCTTTTCGCTCTGTATTTTGTTTCAATGTGTCATTTTCATTCTTTTTACATTGCTCTGCAAAACTATCGTTGAATGAGCTTTTTTGCCTGTTTTCTCCACAGAGAAGGCCAAGCGTTACGTTACTGTGTGGAAGTGCATGCTTCGTTGACTACCAGCTGGCCAGCCCGGGTCCCTTTTCCGAGACTGCCCTCCAAGGTGTTCACAGCGAGCCGGCGGCTTGTCAATCCACCATTTTTCATCTTGCAGCCGCTTGGAATCGACTCATTGCTGCCTGCGCAGATGCTTGCTTGATTGGTTCATGGGGCGACGCGCGGCGTGTCGCGCACAAGAGCTCCACAGCAGTGGGGTGGATCGCGTGCAGAAGGCGATGAAACGGCCCCGCTGAGCAGCACATCCACCGCCGATTCCCGGCCAGTCTCGTTACTAGCAGAAAACGCCATTTTTACGATACCAACTGCGATGCAACTTTGACACTAGGTGGCGCCATGACAGTGACTGCGACGACACGAAAGTGTCTGTGATGGCATCAATCAGTGTCAAATGGCGTCAAGGTTGGTATCGCAAAACGGCGTCTTCTACCGGTGCGCGGCCACGTCGTCCTAGCCCTGGCGCTTGGTCGCGACATCGTTGCAGTCACCCCGCATGCCGGCTCGTGGCCAACATCCGCCTACAGGCAGAAAGACATCGCTCTGCCGCCTCAAGACAACTGCAATCCAAAGATTTTGCACGCCGTTCGAAACATGCAACCCGAATGCACGCCTCCCCGTTCATCGCCGCGCCATCACCTGTTGGAGACCTTCGGTCACCGGTACTTACATGCACCGCACCCGCCACGAGGGCGGCCCCATCCTCTCATCGACAGTGGCGCCACCTTCCTAGCTTGGCGCCCCAGGCCCCCCGAACCCTTCAGCCCACGGGGCCATGTTGACGGGCTTATGCCCATCTGACAGGATATACGGCCTGATGGCCAGATGGGGCCCAGACGCCCCTCCCTCACGAAGCCCATCAGGCGGAGACTATGAACACCACAATTCCCTACCTTCGCCTCCTCAGGCCAGCCTACAAACCTCAAGATTTCCCCTCTCCTCACACAAACCCCTTCTCACCTTGAAGCAAACGGGGCCCTTCGTGCGGCCGCCCACGCCCCCATTCTCAGCGCCCTTCCAGGCGAGGGCGCGACCCTCCCAACACTTCAACGAATACCACAGCGGCACGCCCGCCCAGTGCACGAGCACCCGGCGGCGCGCAGTTCTCCTCCCAGTTCTCCTTGCGCATCCCGTGGCGGGATCCACCACGCGCGGATCAGACACGTCACTGGAACGACGTCCCGCTCTTCGGACGGGCCGCCGACCCACCCCGGCCCCCCTTCAGCCGACGAAACCGAAGAGGGCGACGAGCGCCGCGACGGAAAGCGTGAGGAGGCTCGTCGCCGTCGTCGTCGACCTGTCTCCCGACTCGATGGGCTGGTCGCTGAAGGCGTCCTCGGCGGAGACGTCCGTTGCGACCTCGACCGTGCCCACGTCGTCGGCGCCCAGGGTGCTCAGAACGGGATCCTCGGCGAAGATGGTGGAGGCCTGGGTGGAGGCGGTGGCCTCAAAGTCGTCGGCCGCTTCGCTGGCGAAGTCGGGAAACACCACCTGGGGAGGCAGCAATGCGGGGTTTAAAGAAAGGCTTGCAAACGCCAGCGCAAACGACATCGCTGCGTTGCCAGCTGTGATGCCATTGACACTAATTGATGCCATCACTGCTGCTTTTATGCCATTGCGCTCACTGTGATGGCTCAACTTAGTGTCAACATGACATCGTTGCTGACATCGTTGCTGACATCGTTGCTGACATCGTAGGGATGTGGTTTCCTACTAGTCAAAATATTGCCGATTTGGCTCTGTTTCTGACTGCACTCAGATTGTGTTTAAAATTGAGATCATTTGATTTTTTAATCGCAAACACGCGTGAAAATACGTAAATCTTGACCCGGTGTACATGAAGACAGTGCATGCACACTAAAGGAATGCGAGGAGTGGCAGACAGACACGCTGGAGTGGAAGAAAACGACTTGTGTTCCACGACACCTTTGCCCTTGCCGTGGCGAGGTGGACCCTGTGTTGCGGCTGCTCGAGGGGGAAGAGGACTTACTATTGTATGCAAATCGGTCATGCAACGTGGGTGTCCCAACGAGCCGTAAATATAGCTGCAAAGATAACCCCTTTTGCATTTTACCCTTTTACCCGTATAAAATAGACGTAATAACGTAAACATAAACGCAAAGACCAAGCATATCTATTCCCAAAGAAATTGTATTGCATGGAGTACAACACTGCACGATGCCCTCATGTGCTATGGTACTGAGTTTAACGTGGTACACTGGGTGCACCACTCGCCTTTAACTGGCAGTTAGCTACCAATGGGATTGCAGTTTTAGATGATTTTCAATCTGCCCTTTTTGCATTGCTCTTCGCCATATAGCCAATGCATTGGAGCCACTCTTGCGGCAGTGCGGATCTTGAATAGCTGAGAAAATGATTGAAAATGGTGCGAAGGTGCGCTTCACGTCCTTGTGCCAATTTAACATGGCTTGCCTGTTCCATTATTTGTACGCAAAATGCCACATTTCTGCTTCGCTACATAGTACTGGTCCACGATAGTCAGCAACGTGCCACAGCAGCTGCACGGACAGAAACTGTGTAGAATGAGCTGCTCATATTTTCGCGTTCTAAAAGCAATTGACATAACACCATTTTGGTATGCATTGTTTCAGGGTATCCCAGTGCACAGTCATTGATACTGCTGCCAAAATGCCCAGGGCACATGCAAGCAGCGATGGACTGGAAGTGATGGGCATGAGGGGCGCCGGCAAGGTCAGAATAAGCCCGACAGTGTGAGGGCGACACCGACCTTGTAATGCACTTCCACGCTTCCGGATCTCAGTTCCAAAATAACCACGAACTCTGGATCCACTCCTGCAGCCCTGGCGGTTGCAATTTTGAATCTGTCCTCGAATTCTTTCTTGGCCGTGGAGTTGCTCGTCAAATCTGCAAGCCTGATATTTCTGAACTTGGTTCTCGCCTCCACGACGACCAGCTTCTTTGGAGGGTCCCTCTGACGCCACAGACACGAGCAAATCAGCTGGAGCATGGGCGCGCCCATTTGGTGTCCGAAATCTTGGGTAAATGCGACACAAGGGTCGGTATTATGCTAACCTGTGCAGCAATACTAGCTTGTACATTCATCGTAATTTATACAGTAACCTGTAGCATATATTCCTAATCTATACAGTCATAAATGCAGTGTACGCATGGAGCTGCTTTATCGCATTTTTCTGAGAGATTTTCAGGGAATATTATGTACAGTCATTCTGGCCAGCTGGCGAATGTGAAACCAGGCATACTGGTGTGCCTCTGCATGAAACAACCAAACAGTACTTGCTCAAAAACTGTTTTGAATCGTTGAAAAGTTGACAGACCCATCAACTTATGCTCTGAATGGGGCGTACCTTCAGGGGTCCTCGAGGAAGGTGGGCCGGGGGGCATAAGTCGACGCCGATTGTGGTGAGCCATTATTGCGGTGATGAACACGCGACAATCTTCAGCCGGACTTAAGTAACGAATGCCTGTCACAACAAGGGCGCCGATGGCGCACGGCGCCGCAACGCTGTTATCGCTAAAAACTGCCTTCGAGGATTCAAAGCGGTGCCCTTGTACTTTGTGGGCGATTACCGGCGTGTGGATGTTTAACAACGTCTTTGTGTCCCGCGTCAGCGATGTAAATGGCGGCTACTTCTCCGTTTGGCGTGTGCCATGAGGCTGGTGCTTACGTAATTTGCGGCCTCGCAGTCCTTAGCAGATTTCCCTTTGCAATCCTGGACAGGCGCCAGCGCACTGTTTCTGTTGGCGTCGGAAGCACCCGCGAAGGCGGCCGCCACTGCAACACTCGCTTTGTGGGGAACACATGGAACACCTGGCAAACAAAACTTTGAATTAATATCGCCATTTTCAAACTGAGCAGTGAATGGCAATTTAGAAATGAGCTCACCGATAGGTGATGTCAGTGGGTATTGGCATGCACAACAAATAACGGAGGAATACGAGGAAAACAGAGGCCAAACCAGAGGCATGGAAAGAACAAAAAAACGTGCAGATTGTCACAAAAATTTGCAGGAAATCGACATGGCATGCGTGAGAAAAAATAAAGGCACGGTATGGCGCTTGGTAGAAAATAGAACAGGGTGGGAAAGCGAAAAGCAAGGAGCCCCACGTGCCCAAGCGGAATGGGAAAATGCGGCGTCAAAACGAGAAAACGCGGCGCCCACCTTGCAACATCGCAATTTCGTTTCTGTACTGCCCGCTGCCGTCCCACTCGCAGTGTCTGTCCGCCCCACACGACTGGCTGTCGTTGTGGCCCATGCAGGTGATGGTGGCCTCAAGGTACGCCCTGTGCACGTCGCAAATCGGTGGCGCGTCCCGCATAGCCGTGTCCACCAGTCCCCGCGCCACGAACAGGAGGTCCGGCTCGCACTCCGCCTCCTCCGTCTCGTTGCCTTCGGCTCGCGCCCCTCTCCAGACGCATCCGCGCTTCTCGGTGCACAGCGCCTTGTTGGGAATGGACTCGCAGAGGGTGGTCTCGGCGATGCCCTGGACGTTGGGGTCGCCTATGAGGGGCGTCAGGGCCTGGGGGGCGCACGCGAGCACCGCGTCATTGCAAAAAATTGGCGCAGGCAAGTGCTGTGAAGCAGTGAGCCTTACCGCTGCGAGAAAACATTTGCTTGCGGCACCAGCTGCGATACCATCTTGACACGACGTGGTCCCATCAAAGCTATTGCGGTGGCTCAAAAGCGGGTGCGATGCCATCAATTAGTGGCAAATGGCATCGCAGTTGGCATCGCACGATGTCCGTTTCTACCGATGCATACTGTTTTGTGCCAAGTGAATCGCATTGTTTAGTATATAAATTTGCAAACAGAAACAAAATTTAGGAAATCATGAATTAGGAGAATAAAGCATATATTAGGGCCTTACTTATTTGGGCGTCGCGCTGGATTTGTAGTGGGGTAGGTAGTGGTTTGGGCAACAGAAAGAATTTCAGCTAAGTTGCGATTTTGCACGTCGCTCACTTTTGGGAGTTTGAGGATCCCTTATCCCGGGTCCGTGGTAAAAGATCCAGTTGATGATTTGGTGTTTGAGCTTCTCATAGCAGTGCGCAGTGGCGCCTTACCCGTACAGTATCATGGGGTCGAACTCGGGTATGGAAAGTTTCGTACATAAAGTTTCGCATACTTCGACGTGGAAACTTTCGCCGTGCTCGACTGAAACGCACGCACTGTTGAACGGGCGCAGAGGATCGATGGAGCATGGGTGCATGCGGCACATACACTCCGGCCTGTAAAATCGATCATGCAAATTCAGGTTCTCGCCGCAGTGGGGAAGAACCGATGGCTCGATGGCCGGCTTCACTGACGCCATTGGGAGACTTGGTATTACGGCAAAAACACTGAGCATCCACGCGCACCTACACGTAAAAATAGTATCACGTTTTCGCGCGTAAGTACGCGTTAAAATACCTAAATTTTGACCCGGCGTACATAAAGACAGTACATGCAGACTCAGGGAATCTGGAAGTGGCAGTCAGACGCCCTGGAGTGGGCATAAAACGAATTTTTGTTCAAGGACGTCTTTGCCTTTGCCGCGGCGAGGTCGAACCTATGTTGCGGGAGCGGAGGACTGGACATTACATGCGAATTCATCATGTAACGTGGGTGTGCAACGAGCTGTAAATGCAGCCTCAAAAATTGCCCCTTTTGCAATTTTACGACTTTACACGTAAAACGTAAATGAAAATGTAAAGAATAAACCTGGCCGCGGGCAGGAGCCCACCTCCGTGAACCCGGCCTGCACGGACTCAGCCAGCATGATCTCGTCCTGCTCCTGCGTCAGCAGGCTCCACCTGTCCACCCCCACAAGCGCCTTGGCGGGGTCCAAGAAGCAGATCTCGCTGGCGCCCGACGCGGCCAGCGTCGCAATCTCCTCGAAAAAGGCCAGGTTACCGTCCTGCAGGATTGCGAGGTCGAGGCCGCTGAGCCCCGCCGCGCTCAGATCGCCGGCTCCGAGGGCCCCGAGGGCGTCGGGCAGGGGAAGGCCGCCGGAGGACGCCGCCTCGAGGAGGGCCCCGGGGTCGCCAAGGGCGGAGGTGGCGTTCTCCAGCAGGGCGGTAGCGTTCTCCAGCAGGGCGGTGGGGTCCTCCAGCTGGCCTGCCGCGCCCTCCAGCTGGCCCGCCGCGCTCCCCAGCTGACCCGCCGCGGATTCCAAGACTGGTGGAGAACGGGCAAATAAACGGCGCTTGTTGTCATGGCATTGTTGTTTTACATTGCTGCATTCGTTTAACATGTAACAATACTATACTTTGCATAATAGTAAAGTTAAATAACAATTACCGCATACGTTTACGAAGATTTGAATGATAATTGCCACCACAATCACCGCAGCGGTGGCGGTTTCCAGCAGGGCGGTGGGGTCCCCCGGCTGCCCCTCTGCGGACTCCAAATCTGGTCGAGAACGGCTGAAGCAGCGGAGATTGTTGTCATGGCATTGCTGCTTTGTAGTGCTGCGCGTTTTAAACACCGTAAAACATATTGCATTTTTTGCATAGCTGTAAAATTGCATGGTACTTACCACATACATTTACATAGGTTTACATAATGACATTTTCATAATCCACATACTAAGGATCACTAGAATAGTGATAATTGTAAGAACACTAAGGCTTGTAATTATATAAGAAAATGATGATTTTTACATTTAGTACTTCTATTATTATTGAAACAACAGCAGCAAGCACTGAAAACACTATGACAAGAGATCAATGTGTAAGCAAATGTTGGCGAACACACGCTGTTCAATTATTCAAAGATGCGGTATCGAAATTGACCCCTGGGGTGTCGCTAATGCACAAGCAGCCGGACAGCATCAAAAGCAATTCGCAATTGAGCTTGATTCTGCATGCGAAAAGTGGCAAATTTCGCCTGTCGCCTCGCACCCGCTCCGTCGGCCAGCTGACCCGCCAGGGCGCCCCCCAGCGCCGCCGCCGTCTCTCCATCGACTTCCACGTTCCCCGTCGACGCTGCGGCGGCTATGAGGCCACCGATGCCGTCACCCCCACCTCCGTCCTCCTCACCTTGTTGCTCCACAACGTCTCCGCTTGAATCTGTCAATCAAACAATTAACATATTAGTTAACATCCAGATTCTTTATAACCATCACGGCCGTCGTCGTCGCCATCATTCAATTTTGCATGACAAGGCAACGAGGCAGATGTCAGCTTCCTATTTTGCCCAAGCAAAGCAGTTTCAATGATCATTCCATTGAAATCTAGTGTACAACGTACAGGAAGTCCAGAAACCCATCAATTCCTGTTTCCAAAAAGCGTTGTCGATGCTCAGTAGATTCCACCAACGATTCAGTCAATGAATTGTTCATTTAGTCAATCCGCACGTGGGTCAGGAAGAGCACCACGTCATAGCGAGGGCTCGTGAATCGAACCCTTGGTGCGTGCCTTTGTTATTCGCTGAAAATCTAGGACCTTTCTGAGACCCGTCGCGCCGACAGTGTCTGGGAAGTGTAGTGGGCAGTGTCTGGGCAGTGTCTGGGCAGTGTCTGGGCAGCTTCGAATGCTGGTCTGATGCCACGAATGCATGGAGCACGCAACACCCATATGAAATGGGTAGGGGACACTACATTGGTCATCTGCAGAAAGAACGATAATGCAGACTATTACGAACGATTGAACAGTATTTTCAATTAGTATATTTTTACCATGGAAATTATTATGGATACATTCATAATTAGTGTAATTAAACAATAAGTTTCGTCCTGTGTTCTACAGAGCTTTGATATCATCGCCAACGGCGAGTTCGCAGACAGGTCATCATTGCCAAAGATCGACAGAAACGCAAATCTCAGCTAAGCCCATCCCGATAAATTAGAAGAATGAGAGATCAAAGGAAATTGTGAGCAAAAATATGCCGCGGGCTCCTACGCGAGCGGTACTGTTTCCCTTCAAATTAGCTTGCAATGAACATTTGGCAATGCAGGCCATGCGACTATCCAGTATTTAATCTGCAAGTCATTAGAATATTTGTCTGGTAGCCACTCCATGAAACTTGTACGAAGGTGTCAAGTAGTTGACACTAGTGCACACGCACTAGCGCATCTTGAAATGCCCGCATGGACAAATAGCTTTGAAGCGATACCTAAACATAATTATCGATAGATTTAAACCATCAAACATTACTTCACTGTGTTTCGTGATTGTTGAATTCAATACATTGATTGCTCAATTACTGATCTTTAATCTTAGATTTGCCGATGCGCAGAAATTTGCATCACTACCTCCGCCGCCCAGAATTCCGCCAACCACCGAGACGATGCTCTGCGCAGCTTCTTCCCCTGCTGGCCCCGCCTGAGCCGCCAGCTCAGTGATCCTCGTCAAATCGAAAAGATCAGTGGCGTTGGAGTCGCCGCTGGCGTTGAACATCTTCAGCAATTCGTTGAATGCGGCTATCTCATCGGTCCCGGCCCTGCGCAAGCAACAATATAAATGATGCCAGGACAGTTATTGACAATATCAACGGTAAGGTTTGGATGTAGGATGAAATTGGTAGGTGTGAAGGATGGAAAAACAACCGTGACCACTATCGTTGATAGAAGTAAACCGATTGTCGAGTGATTTGGCGCCTGTGGCAAGATGCAACAAACAAGCTTGCAAGATCGTTGGGGCTGCACTTGCGACCATCGAATGCACGCTCAGGTCCGGACATGAATTGCGGTCCGGACCTGGTTGCGGATCCGCAACGAACTGTTTCGCAATTGAAACGGTAAGCAATACCGTTCCAACATGAAAATGTGTTCTGCAAAATGGCCATGTCTTCGCCTCAACCCCCAAATTTTACCGAGGCCACATGAGTCGCTGCTGATAAGCAATTCCTGCAGTACGCACAGTCAATGCTGTGCACATCGGAAATACGCCAGGTACACAATGGCGGTGTGCATTGCAATGCATGCGAGCCTTCTCCCTACCAAGAGCACGAGCTCTGGGCGTTGCAGTCCTTCGTGGTTGTGAATTTCGTGCACTCCGTCTGCAGGATGTCGGGAATGGCCAGGACGGCTGCTTCGCCAATGCACTGAGCCAGGGTTGGTCCCAGCAGCTGGGCGCCACCGCAAGCACCGGCCTTGGAGTCCCTGTCCAAGCCGCTTATGTAAGTAATCGAAATGGGGGATGGAAATTCTGTGAATCAGCAGTTCAATATTTGCTCATGAACAATCACGAACATTGTGATCATGCCCGAAGAGTATGTTTAGCATATTAAAACATTCGCTTGAATTGACTCATTTCGAGCAAGATGCAGTTTCCGGGGCCAAAGGAAATCTGTAATGCCATTTATAAATATATTGTAGCTGAGAATAGAAGCATTTTTTGACTTGGAAGCTTCCTTGATCCCCGCATTTGGTGCCACAGCCATTTGTGCTATATATTTTCCATCTTTAAAATTGACTTCTTTTTTTCATACATTCAGACTTCACTGAGATCAATGGATTGGTATTCGACAGCATCAAGCTGTTTTGCGTCAAATTTTGATTTGTTTGATGGATTAAACTTCTGTAATCCTGTATGCGACGCACGCTGTCAATAGTCTCTGCGTGTGTTAAGCGGGGGGCCATCGCCATAATTAATCAATCCACAGACCCTGAGATTAGAGCAATAGAACCCTAATTCACATAACGTCAGGCATGAAGCAATGGTTGTGGCGCATTGCGGAAGCGGTCCACCCCGGAAGTAAAGCAGCATCTTTCTGCTAAATTGGCACGTTCCGTTGTAGCTCATCTAATGATTGTGCCACGAGCAGTCATAATACACTCCATTCACGAATGTCTTCTTTGAAGCTGCAATGTAACAGTGTTGATTTGCTTGAAGGTTTGTGTATTTGAATGTTTTGGACTCACCACCCGCATCTTGAGTCTTCTTTGCATCGCGTCTCATCCAGAGTACCGCAGGACTGTCCAAATTCACCAAAATTCATTTAAATTAGTTTGGGTTCTAATGATCCTCAACTCGGGGCCATCTACGCCAGGATTTCAGAGCAAAGCCTGCATAGATGCTGAATAGAAGGAATGGCACTTTGGCTCGTGAATGTATGGTGTCCGTTCAATGGATGTATCCCCATTGCGTTATTTCAGACACATTGCACAATATGCTGCGGTTCAGCTGCATGGTGGTCATTTGTTCACATCAACACAGAACTGCAATACGCAACACTGCTGTGATCCGCATGTCCATCAGACGTAACGGGCGCGCTGCCAAGCGGATCGGTGGACCCACCAGTCAATTGATCAACTGGCAATGGGAATGACCGGCCAATCTGCCAGCAGGCTAGGCAACTTGGCTCAATGCGCATATCCTCACTTGCATCAGTTATTGCCAAGCGCATCTGTACGGCCCGAGCTTGCAGTCAACTCTCACAAACCCACCCTCCCATCATTGAGCCCACCACCAAATCCACTACCAAAGTTCGCAAATCTCTGTCGAATTCCACCTCGAGAGGATCGCACCCACATCCTTCGAAGTAATAAATATAGAGATAATTCCAAAAGGCATGATGAGGATTTGATAAAGTCATCATAAATTTATCTGGGGGCCCACCAAGAACGCCTTGATGTGGTTGTTGAGCTGCGGGTCTGAGCCCCTCGACCCTCGTCCCTTTTGGTCCGCAAACACGATGGGGTTCACCAGGCACGTGTCCGCCCCGCTGTCCCGCGACCTCTTGCAAAGCGGGACGCGCAGGTCCCCGGGTACCTGCAGGAGGCTGCGCAGGGGCGAGGGGCCCGGCTGGATTACGGGCCCCGAGCGCATGGCGCGGTTCTCCGCCGCGTACTTGGCGAGCTTCAGCAGGCGGTCGCTGCCTAGGGTGGACCGCAGCTTCTCGGCGGCCTGCGGTTCGACGGAGAGGGCACAAAGCCAATCTGATTGCATGGATTGTTTATTTCAAAACCTTTGATTGCATTACCACTAGGAAAAAAAGTGCCACATAACACGTGCTCAAACGTGTACAATATGTACGGGTTTGCGTTATTTTCGTGTCCTTAGCGTGCATAACACTGATGAAATGCATACATATGTGTTCGCGAAAATTATATTTGGTCCTTTTTTTGCCAGTGTACACATGAACATGACAAAAAACTGTGCTGGAATCTCGTAAACGATGTTGGACATTGACTCCGTACAAATGTTTGTTCGTATCTCAGATCGCATTTATGTGCAACAGATTTCTGGTGCCTCGAATTGCTTTTCTGATAGTCAGTCAAAGAGCATTGCGTGACAGCCATTGCGCATCGCATTGCACAACGCCACATTAATTCGCTACGCCGTAATACACATAGGTGTGGCGAGTACATGTGAATTCGATTTCAAAGTTGTTGAAACAAAATGCTGAACTTGAGTACTGGAAGCGAACAGTTGAAAACTGGTCTGCAGATCAGAGATCATGAAATCAGTATCAGCAGAGCTTCTACGGTGCCGGAAGGTGTCACCTTGACCATACATATCAGCAACGTATCCGCGCGTCAACCATATTTTACACCGTTTTCCATCAGGGTGCGGCATGGACGAGCAAAAAATAATGCAAAATGGAGCAATGCGCGTTGTTGGGTGAAATCACGTGCTATTCCCCCACCGACTAGTTTAGCCACTAGAGAGCTCAGGACTAGTTCCAAGACTCACACGCGCGGTGATAGCTTGAATTCAGCAAACCTCAAGCCACACAGGCACAAACGACAAGGGTTTTCACAACCTCGCAGCCCCTATATCCAAAAGCGCCACACCAAAACCCAGCAAGCCACGGACCAAGAAACGCACCGACCCAGGCTTTCCTCAAGGATATTTTCGCGTAGGGTTCTCGTTTTGGAAACGGAATCCATTACAGGAGCCATGCGGCGCACAGGCAACGTATCAAGAAGCCAACGCGATTGCAGATCGACTGCCAGCACGGGGAGGCGCGACTCCCTTCATGCATTCCTGGTATTACAACCACGCCCCAATGTGCGCCTTCCTGAAATGCGTGCCTTCCTGGAAGTCTCCAACCTCCTGATCAGCATCCCGCCGATCACCCCACTGCCAACATTTTGCCGGGTCATGTTATTGCGGGAATGGCACGGACTGTGACATGACATATTTGTCGCAACACCACATGCAGTAAATCTTCTTCTTGTTCCACACCACTGCTCAATCCAACCCTTCAAGCACTCTCTCCAAAGCGCCCCGCGTCGCCGCAACGCCTGCCGAACTCGGCCCTGGCCACATTCTCCCAGCCGCCGAGGCTCGACCCCGTCGAAATAAACACATTGCGAACATGTGGTCCCGGCCGCCGCGACTGACCCGTGCGTCGGAACCACCTCCCGCCCGGCGAAGCGCGACAAGGCGCCATTTGGCAAGGGCCAAGACGACAAAGGGGTGGGCCCAGAAATCCTGCGTCGCCCTCGCCCCCCCGTTCGACGCACCACCACCCTCCAGGCCATTCTGACGATCAGGGGCGCCGAATTTTCGGCGATCAAAAGTCACAAAGCCTCAGAAACTCGAAGATCAAAGACTCAAATGCTCGGGCACTCTAAACATTCAAAACCTCGTCGAACAGAGGCGCCGCATTGCGCCGCAGGAAGGCTTTCCCTCTCACCCTCTCCTCCGCTCGCGCGGCGCCGCAGAGCAGCAGCGCCAGGGCCGCGCACAGCCACCGCTCGGAGTGCCGCCGCTCCATGGTCGAAGGTCCGCGGCGGACCGCCCGGCCCGACGCCTCCGGGCTCTGCGTCGGAAAGCGAAGGCAAGAGGAAGGCTCGGATCGCGGCCACCAATGGGCGTTGGCAGCGCGGTGGGCAGGCCAAGGTTTTGTACTCGGGGATGGTATAAGGGGTGGGAAATCGGGTGTACGAGGCGCCTCGCTGAATGACGCCGTGTGCGCGTTACGCGGGCTAATAAGGTGCTTAACAAACAGACGATGCTTTGAAAACAGCTATCCGACAATAATGTATTAAATAATTGAGTTAATATTTATGTATTCTTGTTCGAACATTGTGCTTTCACATTAATGTATGGGCGGGGTTTGGGGAGGGGAGGGCAGTGGAGGGTGTGGGGTGGGAGGGTGAGCAGGCGGCGTCTGCGCCTCCAACGTGCGCATCGGGGGCGCGCAAATTGAAATTGTCACGCACCTTTGAGCCTTTGTTTTGGTTCTGGCGTCAATGGAAGATGTGAAGCATGAGTCTGCTTTCAGATTGCTTTTCTGACTTGGAAAAATGGGTCGCGAATATTTTGCAAGTAGGGACGTGACAAAATAATCATAAATAGTGCAATCCTCACAAAGGCCTGGCTGTGCATGTCCAGATCGCAGTTCGGATTAGTCGTCATGCAAAAAGCAGTTCAGCAATATACGATCCCAAGAAAAGCCTAATTAAATTGGTGTCAATATAACAGGTGATGCAAGATCTTAAAGCAGAGCATTGCATAGTTAAATGTAATATGCAACGGACAACTTGAATAGTGGTCATGTCGAGCAAACACAGTTGTCACGTGATTCCGTGTTTATTTGACATGAACGCCATTCAAGCCTTGTTGAACAAGCCCGGTAGCAACAACCACCGGAAATTTCCCTAGTCGCAATAGCAGCGTTTTAAGAAGTACAGGGCCGAATTGACCAATAAGGTCTGTGGAAGCAAAATGCAGTGTTGCGATGTATTGAGGGCAGCAAATTTTCATAGAGAATCGGGCGGGGAACGGCAGTTAGCCGGACAATCCTCCACAAGTTTGGCGCCGGTTTTTGCCGGTGTGTGAGAGGAGAGCGACATACCCAACATATGGTGTGCACATCATCGCAAGACGTCTTCGCATGTTGCAATGAATCTCCTGCCATTAGCGCACCTGTCCAGCACTCTCAGATCTCTGTGTGTTTGTTGTTCATTGCCAATAACAACAAATACGCCCAGATCTGGGAGTGCGATTGGCAGTCCCAATTGCGTGGACGATTGGGTATCAATCCAATGGCCCCCCGCAAATACAAAGATGTCCATATCCAAGTATTGATCCCCACCACAGGGCCAACATCTCCTTCATGTGGGAGATGTGAATCTCAGCATCAAATGTATTCCTCGACCAACGGAAAAGAATAAACACGAGTGAAGTCCATCTGCATGTGCAATTCCTTGGAGTGTTTTGGTATGTGTTCTCACGGGAAGGTGTTTCCTTTCTCATGGAATTCAGTGCACGTGCCAACATGCGCAAAACAGTGTGTGGATTGCCGCCCATCATCGCTAATCAGCTGCCATGGCCCTGGTTTGTGTTTTCGCGACAAATCTAGTCAAGGAGTCTGAGCGGCGCAAAGCCAACCCCTGTGCCAAGGCGTGAAGCAGGGGCGAAGAACAATCTGTGTCTGCTTGTGTCCCATCAAGTCGCCTGCCAAATGTGCTTGTCTTGAGGTACTTTCGCCGACATCTTCATTAGACACATTTCAGACAGTGTTATCTTGGCATCTTATGCTGAGACACCTTGTCGTTTTTTTTGTTTTTTTTTGTTTTTTTTTTGTTTTTCTGAAAAATTCATATATTCCACAAAACTACACTTCCACAACACTAATTCCTTGGAAGAAAATTTTCCTGAAAGTGGAACTTTTGTTTCGATGTACAAATGCTCATCGATTTACCAGTCAACTGTATGATTGATTGGCCAGTCATCCAGTGTTCCAACTGGAACACTGGATGGCACCATCAGTACCTGCTCCTGAATTTACTTTTAGTGTTCATTTTATTAACTTCAATATACCTTCATCTGATTGAAATAGCGCTCATAATCCCAAATCCTCATGATCATTTACGCATTTTGGCACAAGATTATGTATATTCTAGACTCAGCGAAACTGATGGTGCATAGATTTGTGCATGTTCCACACTCAACCTACTGCCTCAACACTATTGCGAATTTTTCACCAAGATACTTCCCACATGGCACACAATTATTCTACCCAAGAGGGCTTGGGTCGCAGCCAGCCCTTTGGTTGCACAATGGCTACTGCGCAGCGCAGCCGTTTTGCCCAGAAGGTGGTGCTTCCGTCCGCTGGCACATGGGGCTCCAATCGCAATTTGAGGATTCTGCCCATGGTTCTTGGAAAGATTGGAACCTGGCTGACATTTGGCACAAAAGCCTCTTTCATCAGATTTTTCCGTTGGTGAAATGCGGATTGTCGGGATGCCCAACCAGGGAGCGAATTGGGCATTGTTGATCCCTTTTGGGCCAGACGGCATTTCTTGAAGAGTCTTCATGCTCAGAAATTGCAATCAATGGGTGGAGACGGTTCGGTGATACCGAGTGATGTCGCAATGCAAAAGTACTTTTTGCTGCAGTTCCAGCTCGCCAGCTTGCGAACACACTTCGTTTGATGTGTTACCACCGATTATCGCTTCTAGGCATCGAGAGTTCAGATCATAGATTTAGTTTGTATTTCTCATTAGATTTCAATGAACCAATCACCGACTCTGTTTTGCTCAGGCAAAATAGGAAGCTGACGGCTACCTCATTGCCTTGTTCTGTAAAAAATCATGATGATGATGATGATACCGAGTTTGTGAAGTTTGCGCGGTTTGATGGGTAGCAACTCAATGTTGGGATTGCAGCAATGCCTTCGGTTCTCGCGAAACTTTTCACGGACACCGCTTTGCTCGGGCGAAACAGGGTCTGATGGCCGCCTCCTTGCCTTGATACGTAAAAATTCTTGATGAAACGCTGTCAAGAACCCGGCCATCGACCCCAATGTTCCAAGACGCCTGAAGGGGGCCGCCTGCGTGAGGATCCTTGGAGGTCACAGCGTGCCGAGTCCTGATCGGAGGCCCTGAAACAAGAGGGCAGGCTATCTGGAACTATCCATCGATTCCGCCCCCAAGGGAGCGCGTCAAAGC